GTTTCCTTCTTTTTTTGTTTTTTTTTTTGGGGGGGGAGGTTTTTGCTATAGAGCACGCATGTTCACCAGAAAGACAGAGAGAAAAAGTGAGAAATCACCCCCCAGGGGGGATGGCCACGCCACAATCCCTTCTCCTCTTGGGATCTTGGGCATGCATGCCACGCTCCTGGCATGAGTTTAAGCTACCAGGTCCAGGACTAGAACCATGGTCGGCCACATGGGAGTCCATCAACATAGCCATTACACCAACTGCTGGTCCCCCGAGAAATGATCATGTGAACTGGTAACGACACAGTGTAACAGACTAGGAATTCCATTAGATTGGACTGTGTTTTGGAAAGCATTTAGTTTAACATGCCAACAAACGTCTAATTTGGAAAAACCTTTAATTACTGGTCATATGAAAAGATAGTCCTAAAGGGCTTCAGAGAAAAGGAGCACACATCGCAGTGCTAACTCTTACCTGGGTATCGTCTGTATAATGAAAACATCTTGGCCACGAACGGATTCTTTTATTTCGACCCTTGTTTCTGCAAAATAAAAGTGTTCTGAAGTTCTAAGAAAAACACTTCATGTTGCAGTACTTGACAGCATTTGGAAGAAGTAAAATTAATCTAAACCACAGCTTCACTGGGTGCAATAAAATAAATTCGTAATAGGCTTTAGAATGATGTGTACGTATGTAAAACGTACTCAGAGCTGGACAGCAGCGCGGCAGTACACGGGGCGTTGTGTGAGGCTGACGGCAGGGGAAGTTCTGGGTGAGTGTCAGATCTCCCCGAGTGCAGGGAGCACAGAGCTGCCCTGGGGGATCACGGCACCTGGACTCTGCAGGGAGTCACGGCTCTCTCTCATGCGTGCACTCATGGAAGAAATAAGTAAAACTTTAAAGAACAGGGGCCAGCAGGTGGCACAGTGGTTACAGGCACTGGATTCCCACATGGCTGACCATGGCTCAAGTCCTGGACCTGGCGGCTTGCTCTCTCACTTTCCCTCTCTCTGTCTGATCAAACTGAAAACTAATAATAATAATGTTAAATAATATAAACCTTAGGGACCAGCAGTTGGCATAATGGCTATGTCACTGGACTCCCATGTAGTCGACCGCAGTTCGAGTTCTGGACCCAGTGGCTTAAACTCACACCGGCTATGCGTGTGCGTGCCCAAGATCCCGAGAGGAGAATGGAGGAGAAGGGATTGCGGCGTGGCCATCCCCCTAGGGGGCGATTTCTCACTTTCCGTCTCTCTTTCTGGTGAGCACATGTGCCTATAGCCAAAAAAAAAAAAAGGGACCCAGC